TGCAACTGAGTATGACTAGTAATAATCAGATACATACAGGTTAGAGATGCATGCGCACCAACATCTCAGTGTTAGTAGCAAAAACAATGAGTCTTTCTGCAAGGAACAATATATTCTAAAATGAAATGGAGATCTTTTTTAAAGGTTAAAAACTCATCCAATTTTATGTCTTACAGGGCTCATACTGAGTTCAACATTGTATAACTATTAATTCAATTGTGAACCTAGAAACTTGCACTCACTTGTGAAAGAGATGTACTCTTGCTCTGGAGTGTGTTCCTGAATATGTTAAAGCTGTAGTGAAAAGCTTCTTCTAATCATGTAGTTATTAAAGATTAAAAAAAATGATTAAAAAAATTCTTCAAAGCATAAAAATTTGCTCCTTAATAATTAGATGTGAAAAACATTGTCATTGAAATCTACCTGATAATTTTCTATCCATGCTCATATGCCAAGGAGCTCAGAAAGTAACCAACTGTAACTAGTAATAATTAGATATATAGAGATTACAAAAGCATGTGCAAACATCTTAATGTCAATTGCATTAAAAATGAATTTTTTCTGTATGAAGTTGTGTATTTTAATAATGAAATGGAGATCTTTTTTAAAGGTTAAAACTTCATTTATGTCTTATAGGGTTTATACTGAGTACAATATTGTATAACTGTAATTCAACTGTAAACCTAAAAATGTACAGCCAATTTTGAAAGCGATGCATCCTAGCTCAGAAAATTGTTATTAAATATGTCAATGCTGATGTTAATGAAATGCTTCTTCTAAGTATGTGGTTATTAAATAATTTTTAAAAATTATTTATTTTAACAGCCACAAAAAGTTTATTATGCAATTATACTTTCCTGCACATACTAAGAAGCTCAGATGCAAATATTTATGGGACTCTTTCACTATAAAGTAAGTGAACAGCATGAATATTTGTTCACTCCTCTGCCTACAGCTAGTTCATTAACTGAGTATGTCCAATCTTACATTCTTGGCTTTAAATGTATATTCAGTGTATGAGACAAAAATGTGATATTTTTTCATGGTGGTTCTGCTTTACTTTGCTTATCATTATGAAGTGCATTTCCATCCATAGTCCTGTAAACACCATGGACTAATTCTTTCTCCCTGAGTAATACATTTGAAACACATCCCATCTTTACTGATGAATTCAATGATGGTACAAAGGATTATTTTCTTGGTTGTTGTGAATAATGGCTCAGCAAGCTTGGAAGTGAGGTACAGCTATTATAGCCTTAGTCTCATCACACGGCAGTTCTACTTTTCATATCTGCAAAAACCTCTATAATGGCTGGACAATTCTACACTATCACCAATGGTATGTATGAGTTCCTTCTTCATATATTCTCAGTGTTAATCCTATATTGAATGAGTAACTGGCAAACATTTTTTCCCCTAATCTATAGGATGCCTCTTCATTCTGTTATTGTTTCATTATTGGTCAGAAATTTTACATTTAGATGGGTTTTGTTCTGTTTTGGGTGGTTGTTTCTGAGATATGGTCTCATCTATCATATTCTGGCTATGAATTCACTATGCAGTAAGAATGTCTTGAACTCCTCTCATTCTTGGGGTTACAGGGTAAGAGAGACCTGTCCAGTTTCAGTCTTCTAGGCATGGCAATCTACTTTTTTGTGGGACTTCTTTTAAAATATCCTTTTTCCCAAACATAGATTCTTCATAATACCTCTGAGATGGCTATGGTGGTGTGAATACACTTTTGGGTTACACTGTATGCCACTCCATGGGTCTGTGTTAATATTTTGTGTCAATACCTTACTATTTTAGTTAAGAATGTTCTCTAGGGACTGGAGAGATGGCTCAGTAGTTAAGAGCACTGATTGCTCTTCCAGAGGACCTGGGTTTGATTCCCAGCACCCACATGGTGGCTAACAACCATCCAGAACTCCACTTCCATGGGATCTAATGCCCTCTTCTGACCTCCACAGGCACTGCACAACACAGGTACATTTACATAAATGCAGGTAATACACTCATACATATAAAATAAAAGTTAAAAAAAATGTTCTCTAGCGTAATTTGATATGTGGATATTTCCAGCACTACCTTTTACAAAGGATTCCTTTGGCTAGTTAGAGTTATTTCTTCTGTAAAACCATTACACATTTATTTTCTCGAGCATATTGAAATTTCCTGGGAGTATACAGAGTAGGTAGTTCCTTGGAACCCACATAAAAGGAGAGAAGTCACTGGGTGTGGTGGTGCATGCCTGCAATCCCAGCACTTGGGAGGCAGAGGGTATCTCTGTGAGAGTTTGAGGCCAGCCTGGTCTACGTAGTGAGTTCCAGAGCAGTTGGGGCTATAGGAAGACCCTGTCTCAAAAAGACCAAAAAAAAAAAAAAAAAAAAAAAAAAAAAAAAAATACCTGAGAACAAGAGAGAAGTCCACAAAACTGTCCTCCGGCTTCCAGACACATGCTATAGTATACATGCCTACACATCACTGCCCACACACTCAAATAAAAAAATTTTTTTTAAATGCTAAGATATTTTGGCCATATTAATTACATTAATCTATGGACACATGAAGTCTTTCATTATCCTAGGATCTTCTCAGTTTCTCTTTAAAATTTTTTTATTAAATTTATTTGTCTCTGTGTGTGTTTGTATGTGAGTGCACACATACCACACTACAAATGTGGAGGTGAGGAGACAATCCATGGGAGTGAGTTCTCTCCTTCCACCAGGGATCTAACTCTTGGTGGTAACCACCTTTACCATCTTTCCAGTGCCTCAATTTCTTTTACCATTTTTTATAGTTTTAGCAGTAGCAGCCTATTTAGGAATATTCCAAGGTGGCTTGGGTTTTTTTTTTTTTAAGGCAAACATAAATGATATCATTTTCCTAACTTCCTTCTTACCATATTATTCTTATGTATGAAACCTACGAGGAGTTAAGGATGAAGCTCAGTTGGTAGAGTGCTTATCCAGCATACACAGAGCCCCAGTTTCAATTCCCAGTTTGGCATAAAATTAGGTGTGGTGGCACGTGTCTCAGAAACTCAAGGCAGTCCTCAGCTACATAGAGAATTTGAGATTATCCTGGGTTACATGAGACTGTTTCCAAAAAAAGTTACTGAATGGGTTGAAGTCATAGCTCAATATTATAGTGCTTGGCTGGTATAGGTAACACCCTAGATCTGATTCTTAGTACAAAAGGAAGGGAGAGAGGATGGGACGGGGGAAGGGCAGGAGGGCTACTGATTATATGTTGATTATATAACCTGCTACTTATAGAAAATGTTTATAAGACTTAATACTTAAGAGCCTTTATGGTCTTTAAAGTGGCATATTGCCTGAAAAAACAATAATCACATTTCTTTTCCAAGTTGTAGCCTTGATTTCTTTCACTTGCTTTACTGCTCTATGAAATTAAAATCTATTTTAACAAGACTGAAGAAAAAGCGTTAATTCCCTGTATTATTACTTGTATTAGAGGAAATGCTTTTAGTTTAAGTGCAGCAACCCAGTCATTTATTCTTAGCACTTTGGTAAGTTATGAGTTTGTACAGTAACCAATGTGCATTGACAATCAAGCTTCTCTGACCAAAGCTGACACCAGTAATCATCTATGGACATGAACATAAATATTTAGAGGGCAATATGATGCCCATTTAGCAAAACAATACCAGTAGCTTCCTCACAAAGGCCTGTGATCACCCTAGCCACAGGATTTGACAAGCCTGTTATTAAATGCAGGTATTAGAGTTATGTTGTAGAAGAGCTGTTACTTTTTTGCCTGCTCTTTTGCCATAATTACTGAGTTTCTAGATTGCCATTTGTGCAGGTATGGAATGGACAGCTCTTCCTGTTTTATGTAAAGGGTCACTTCAGTCAGCAGTCTTCATCTGTAGCCTTAATCCTCAGCACTACTAAGAGAAGAGAAAGCAAACTGCCTTAACAGCAACACCACCAAAATAAACCACATACAGACATAAGATAAACATAAAAACAGAGCCTATAAGATGGTTCAGTGGGTAAAGGAGCTTGCTGCCAGCATGATGACCTGAGTTCCCCAGGACCATGTGGAGAGAGAACTCATCCGTGCACGTTGTTCTCTGACTTCCACATGTACACTGTGGCATGTGCACATGTAGGCAAACATGAAAGCATACACACACAAGCACACACATGCACACACACACACACACACAAAACCCTAAATAAATGAGTAACTAAAAATAAAAGCAATCAATACACCACCACTAATCACAGAAAGAATGTGAATAAATGTAGAACAAATTTCAGATAAAAATTAATGAATGTAAGCCGGGCGTGGTGGCACATGCCTTTAATCCCAGCACTCGGGAGGCAGAGGCAGGCGGATCTCTGTGAGTTCAAGGCCAGCCTGGTCTACATAGTGAGTTCCAGGACAGCTGGAGCTACAGGGAGACCCTGTCTCAAAAAGACCAAAAAAAAAAAAAAAAAAAAAAATTAATGAATGTAGCTAGGCATGGTGGCACATGCCTTTAATCTCAGCACTTGAGAAGCAGAGGCAGGTGAATCTCTATGAGATCCAGGCCAGCCTGATCTACACAGTGAGTCCCAGACCAGCTGTGGCCACAAGGAAGCCCTGTATCAAAAAGTTCCCCCACCAAAAAAGGAAACAGCCATTTGGAAAAACATTTCATCTGTGTTCTCTACTATTGGTATCTGTCAGAAGTGGGTAGGGGTGACTTGTTTGTAGATAGACTACTGTAATTCTTCTGTTCCTACCTTACTAGTTGATGCCATATGCTGACTGACTGCTGGGCTCATTAAGGTTGTATCACCAACAGGGCAGCATTCAGTTAAGAACTTGCTTATTTGCATAAAAGGAAAACATACTTCAGAAAAAAATTAAAACAAAAACAAGAAGATGAGCTGATGTGACTAATCCTCTCCAGAAACTGCAAAAATCAAGGCTTAATTCATGAGACCAGTGGTCATCAAGACTAAGTTTGGATAAAAGCTGATGAGCGGAACTCAACATCACCAGCATCTATCTCATAAACTAACTGCTGGCCTCCCTTGCTCGGAATGTACTCACTGACCTGGATGGCTCTGGGCTGAGGCTTCTGCTATGCTCCAGGGCCCAAATCCATGCTCCAACTTGTAGATCAATTTAGGTTTTGTCATGCAGTGCCCTGTAAGTGAGAAATAATATACAAATAATGTGAAAGTGTTAGTTCAGGTCCACTGATGAACGACAATGGTCTTTCCAAACGAATCAGAAACTTTCATTAGAAAGACTGTATAGTCCTGGAATAGTACCTTCAAACTGGCAAAAACCTGCATAATAAACACCCAAAATAATGATTCAGGAAATTTTTAAGTAAACAGCAATGAATATAAGGAAAATACAATGAAATTTAAAAGACATTTAAGATAGTTAAAACAAATTACATCAGAGACAGTGATTTAAAAAAATCATCCAAGGGGCTAGAGAGATAGCTCAGTGGTTAAGAGAGTTTGCTATTCTTTCAGAAAATCATAATTGAGTTCCCAACACCTACACAGGGTAACTCACAACCTGTAATTCCATCTCTAGGGAATCAAATGACCTATTTTGGCCTCCAGGGGTATGAGTACCTGCATGCATGTGCACACATGAACACGCACGCACACACACACAAAATAATAAAAATTAATCTTAAAAAAAAAAAAAAACAAGCCAGGTGTGGTGAGGCACGCCTTTAATCCCAGTACTCGGGAGGCAGAGGCAGATGGATCTCTGTGAGCTCAAGGCCAGCCTGGTCTACATAGTGAGTTCCAGGTCAGCTGGAGCTATAGGGAGACCCTGTCTCAAAACAAACAACAACAACAATAACAACAACCAGCCAAAATTTTAACATGGAAGAATTCAGTGAAATGGGGGAGGGGAGAAAAAAGCTCAGACTCCACAGCTCAACTGGCAAATTGGAGGGGAAAAAAATTCTGAGCACAAAACCAGTTATTTTAAACTAACCCACAGGCTAGAGAGATAATGCAGTAAATAAGAGCAATTGTTGCTCTTGCAGAGGACCCAGGTGCAGTTCCCAGCACCCACATCAATATCAGGCCGCACACATCCAACTGTAACTTCAGTTTGGGGAAAATTTAATGTCCTCTTCTGGTTTCTGTGGCAATAAAAACAGTCAAGTAGGTGCACACACATACATAAATAAAAAATAATTCTTTAAAAACTATTTTATTATTTTTATTTTATATGTATGGGTGTGTTACCTACATGTATATAGGTACACCCATGTCATGCCATGCCCACAAAGGTCAGAAGAGAGTGTCAGAATCCCTGGAACTGGAGTTATGGATGGTTGTTAGCTGTCATGTGTGTGCTGGGAACCTAACCCAGTCCCTCTGCAAGAGCAGCCAGTATTCTTAACCAAAGAGTCATCTCTCCAGCCCCAGAATAAAATTTTTTTAAAAGGCTGGGTGTGGTGGCGCATGCCTTTAATCCCAACACTCGGAAGGCAGAGGTAGGCAGATCTCTGAGTTCAAGGCTGGCCTGGTCTACATAGTGAGTTCCAGGACAGCTGGGGCTACAGGGAGACCCTGTCTCAATAAAAAGACAAAAAAAAGAAACAAAAAGAAAAAAAAAACTTTTTCTGAAAATAAAACTAGCCCAGGCCGATTTATGAAATTGAAAGGAGTTTTTTAAACAGGCAATATCATTAAAAAAAAAAAGAAAGAAAAGAAAAAGCAAACATTTGAGCCAGGTATGGTGGTTGATGTCTTTAATCCCAGCACTCAAGAGGCAGAGGCACATGGATCTCTGTAGGGTTGAGGCTAGTCTAGTCTACATACTGAGTTCCAGACCAGTCAGGGTACACAGTGAGCTCCTGTCTTTAAAAAAAAAGAAAAAAGAAAACATTCGCCTTATTGGTATTCCAGAAGAAACGGGAAAGGACACCAAACACAGGATCAGTGACAGAATTTCACATTTCAGTAGAGTTATGTACATCTAGACCCATTATGCTCAAGGGAACTCTTAATAGATTACACCAATGAAATGATAGTGTGTCACATTATAGTCCAATTGGCAAAATGCAAGACAGATTTCTAAATACTTCAAGAGGAAAGCATAATGCTACATATAAAAGACACTCACCTCGAAGACCATGCTTTCAACTGTCACCATACCTACCAGCATTATAATGATTTCAGAACTACAAATGCAACCATACTACAGATGGAGTAGCCCCAAAAAATACAGGAGTAAACATTCTCAACAAAACAGAAAATGAAAACAGTACATAAAACAATTAGAACCTATGATCATGTGTGATTCATCCCAGGGAGGTAACAACACTCACCATATGGAAATTCACAATGTTTTTTAAAAAAATATTTTTGTTTATTGGTCTTTTTGAGACAGGGTCTCCTTGTAGCACCAGCTGTCCTGGAACTCATTATGTAGTCCAGGCTGGCCTTGAACTCACAGAGATCTGCCTGCCTCTGCCTCCCTAGTGCTGAGATTAAAGACGTGCGCCACCACGCCTGGCTAAAAAATTATTTTTAGTTTATTTTATGTGTATGAGTGTATTGCCTAAATGTATGTAAGTGAACACATGTCATACAATGCCCAAAGGATCAGAAGAGGTCATCAGATCCTCTGGAACTGAAGTTATGGACAGTTGTTAGCTACCATGTGGGTGCTGGGGATCAAACCCAGGTCCTCTGCAAGAGTGGCCATTGCTTTTAACTACTGAGCCATCTCACCAGCCCCCAAAATTCACAAATTTAAATTCTATATCCATACAATGAATAATAAACAACCATATTGCTGGGTATGGTGGTACATGCTTTTAATCCCAGTCAGTACCTCAGGATGCAGAAGCAGGCAGATCTCTGTTGACTTGACGCCAGCCTAGTCTACATAGTAAGTTCTAGGTCACCCAGGGTTACATAGTAAAACCTTGCCTAAAACAAAACAAATCAGCAATATGAATACAACAATACATGCATAATGGGGATTTTGTAGAATTCAACATCCTATTTTTAGAAAAATCCTCAATAAATTAAGTTACAGGATTATACTTCCACATAATGACTATGAACAACAAACCCCTGGAGAAAGCCTGAAATTATTTTCTCTACAAAGATGTGCTCTTTCACCACTCTTTTTCAGGGCAGTAATCAAGTCTCTAGGCTTATACATCTGGTAAATAAACAAAGGACATCCAAAGTAGAGAGGGAAATGTAAAAGTGAGCTTATTTGTACAGAAGTCTTGGCAGCAAGCACCTTCACACACTGAGCTCTCTCACTGGCCCCATAATTCTATTTTCTATTAACAACAGAGTAAAAGGTTTAGTACACTGAAAAATCACAAAACGTTGAGAAAAGTACAAGACAGAATCTACCAAGCAATAGAGAGATACCAGGATCCAGAATACCAAGGCAATGGGGCTACTAGGGTTTTTAAGGTCACATTTAGCTATATACTGAGTTCAACAAAGCCTTATCTCAGGAAACCAACAATCCCCCATGTTACAGATAAGGGGAAAAAAAATCAAAGTTTTAAATATCTATACTACACAAAGTGATTAACAGACCATTTTAGTACCTATGACATTCTTGAGAATTAGAACACTGTCCTAAATGATACCTCAATGACACCGTGTAAGCACCAAGATCCCCCAACTGTCAAAGCAACCTTGATCAAAAGGAACAAACCTGAAGTCCATACAGTATCAATACACTAAACAGATAGTAGCCTAAATAGCAAGTTACTGGCATAACAAGAGACACATACATAAATGGAACAAATGGACAACCTAAGTGTAAAAGCCTCCATGTTCAGTGTTACACTTTGTATTTACAATGTTCTCTAAAGACTAAAGTCTTCATTACCCGTGTCCTAGTTTGTTTCTTCATTGCTGTGACAAAATACTCTGACCAATACCAATTTGGGGAGGAAAGGGTTTATTTAGCTTACATCTCCCAGGTCACAGTTCATCAGGGAGCCCAAGGTAGGAACTCAGGGCAGGAACCTGAAAGCAGGAGCTGGAGCACAGGCCATGGAGGAATGCTGCTTACTGGCTTGCTCCTCTGGCCCCTGCAACACAGGCCCACCTGCCCAGGGGTGGCACTACCCACAGTGGGCTGGGCCCTCCCACATCACTCAACAATCAAGAAGATGCCCCACAGACATGGCCACAGGCCAGTCCAATGGAGGCAATTCCCCAACTGAGGCTCCCTCAACCCAGGTGTGTCGAGTTGACACTAAAGCTATCCAGCACAACCAGTATGTGAGAATTTAGCTATAGAGCCCAGTGAGAGAAAATCAGGTCACTGGAGAAATGCCCTAGGGATCTGGGATATTGGCATGTCAGTGCCTCATCTATCTTTCCTGAATGTAGTGAGGTAATCAGCTTTGCAACACAATGTGCTGCCTGCCATGATCTTCACCACAAGATGTTAGGTTCCTGGCAGACTCTTAAAATGGCAGCACAGCCTGCAACATTCTAAAATGGAGGGTTCGAACTTACTCCTGGGGAAGTCCCTCTGTTTGTTGGGAGACCAACCAATCCTGAGCTAAGCTGCCCAGTCTACATCATGGAAAGTTACCCAACCACCTCAACCACCCAACTGCCTATAAAAGATATCTGACTTCCCCTGCTCACTACTGTTTCTCTGCTGCTCTGCTCGCTAAGAGGTAGCCCCAGCAGTCTGTTTGCTAAATTGCACCCCGCCCCCACCATAGAGTTGTCTGGTCGATGGTCTTTGCTGCTGCACTTCCATACAAGATCAAAGTAGCATGGTTATGTAATCAATGACTGAAACCTTTGAAAACCATGAGCCAACATAAACTTTCCTCCTTTTAAATTGTTTACTTCATTTTGTCAGAGAGGGAATACATTCAGTCAACTGATTTTCCCTTTTTTTTTTTTTTTTTTTTTAAGTTATTTTTTCAGAGAGGGAATAAAGTTAGATAACTTATTTTCCCTTTTTTTTTTTTTTTTTTGAGACAGGGTCTCCTGTAGCCCCAGCTGGCCTGGAACTTACTATGTAGACCAGGCTAGCTTTGAACTCACAGAGATCTGCCTGCCTCTGCCTCTGAGTGCTGGGGCTAAAGGTGTATGCCACCATGCCCAGCTCAGTCAACTGATTTTTCAACAAAGGCTTCAAGTACTTATACTCAGGAGAGAAGTTCTAATCTATAAATTGTGTTGAGAAACATGGATGTTCAAGTGGCTGAGGAAAGTTAGATAACAAACTACTTATATGAGTTACTTCTCTGTTGCTGTGATAAAATACCATAAACATAAGGAACTTATGGATGAAAGAGTTTATTTTGGCTTATGATTCGGGATGGAGAGTCCATAATAGCAGGGGAGACATGGCAGCAGGCAACTGGAGCAAGAAGCTGAAAGATCTCATCTTCAACTGCAAACACGACGCAGAGTGAAGCAGGCTATAAACAGTAAGGCACACCCCCAGTGGTGTACTTCATCCAACAAAGCTCTATCTCATTAAGGTTCCTTAATCCCAAACAGTGCCACTAACTGGGGACCAACTGTTTAAATATGTGAGCCTATGGGAATATGTCTCATTAAAACCACCACATCCCTCTTTCTTATCACATACAGAAATCAATTAAAAGTAGATCAAAATTTAAATGAGACCTGAAACTACAAAGCTCCTAGCATATACAGAAACACTTTGGGACAATGATTTAAGCAGGATGTTTTAATATGTGTGAAAAACAGCAAACAGAAACAAAAATCAACAGGATTACATCAATCTCAAATTATCTATATAGAAAAGCAGGTAATCAACATAAGAAATCAACATAGAGATAGAGAAAATGTTGGCAGGCGGATCTCTGTGAGTTCCAGGCTAGCCTGGTCTACATAGCAAGTTCCAGGACAGCTCGGACTACAGGGAGACCCTGACTCAAAAAGACAAAAAAAAAAATAAAATAAAAAAAATAAAAAATCTCATAAAATGACAGTAACAATATAAATTACTATAGCTAAAGTATGCTGCTTTCTCAGAAACTAAATACAGTAGTACATGATACTACTATCACATTGCTGCTTATATATTAGAAAGAAATAGGTATTTTACAGAGAGAAATCTGCAGTTCTGTTTATTACAACATTGTTTACAGAAGCAAAAATGAGTGTTCAACAACAGAGGAACCGGTAAAGAACATGTGCCACATACAAACTATATAAACCTGTATTTCTCATTGAAATGGATGAAAATTGTCAGAGTGACATGGACAGAATTTTATAGAGGAAAGCATTATGTGAAGCTTTAGTATAGCTACTTCCTCTGAGCTTAAAGTAGAGCAGACATGGTGACCTACAGCAGACATTGAAACACAGTCATGGCAGTCAAGAGAAACATGCAGAAGACATCTAGGTCTGTGATGATGGTAATGAGGCTCTGAATCCTGAGGACTGTCATGAACCCAATTAACATTCCATGCAGGACTGGCCTTTAGTTATAAATAGTTAAAAATTGACAAGGGTTAGGGTGTGTGTGTGTGTGTGTGTGTGTGTGTGTGTGTGTGTTACAATTGTCTGAGAGTCACCTTTGCTCTCTAAGTACCCCAGTAATTTCATTTATTCTCCAAGCTAGAACTTTCTTTAAGCTATCTATTCCCAACATACTTGTGAACAGATGTTCCTTTTGTCTGCCCAGGAAAAGCAAAGACATAAGAGAAATATATCACAACCCTCCTGTAGCCCCAAAACCCTGAATCATCTTATTTTATTTACAAGGTAAAGTTGACATCAGAGAAGTAGAGGGAAAAAACTGGTTACTAGCGAATAAAAAAGATATAGAGGAAAGAAGGGTGGAGCATAGGTGACATTTACTAGGATGCATATGGACATGAGTAATTTCTTATGTTCTAAAGAATAGTACTAAATAACAGCAATTGAGTATTTCAAAACAGCTAGCAGAAAGATTTCAAATGTTCCCAAAACAAACAAGTAATGTTGAGCTGCTTAAATTTAACAGTTAACTTTCATCTAATCATCAAACATTGTGTAAGTGTATTGCATTATAAGTGTATAAATATGCTATGTGTCCATTAAGAAGTATAATATAGGGGCTGGAGAGATGGCTCAGCGGTTGAGAACACTGGTTGTTCTTGCAGAAGACCCGGGTTCAAATCCCAGCACCCACATGGCAGCTAACAACTGTCTGTAACTCCAGTCCCAGGGGATCTGGAAGCCTCTTCTGACCTCTGTGGGCACTGCACGACATGGGTGCATTTACCTACATGCAGGCAATACATGCATACACATAAAATAAAAATAATAAAAAAATTTTTTAAAGTTTTTTTAAAAAAAGAAGCATAATATAGCCAGGTGTGGTGGCACATGCCTTTAATTCCAGCACTCAGGAGGCAGAGGTAGGCGGATCTCTGTGAGTTCGAGGCCAGCCTGGTCTCCATAGTGAATCCAGGACAGCTGGGGCTACAGGGAGACCCTGTCTCAAAAAGACCAAAAAAAAAAAAAAAAGTTAGCATCAATTCCTATAATTATCAACCAAGAATGTAACTGGTACTGAGAGTTACAGGACAGACTCACCCAAAGACATGAGGCTGCTGTAGTTCTCCAACATCACGTCCCTGTAGAGGGTCCTCTGAGCCGCATTCAGATCCTGCCATTCATGCCAGGTGAAATCCACAGCTATGTCTTCAAATGATACAGACCCCTGTAATACACAGTTCTCTTCAAAACAACCTTAGGAACAGAAAATGTGAGTTCACTCTACTCTGTATTTCATGGTTTCCACTGTCACCTTGGCAGTATGTGGAATCACCAGGGAAGGGACTCTCAATGAAGATTGTCACGATTACGTCGGCTTGTAATCTTAATTAAGGTTAACTAAAACGGGAGGACCTGCCCACACCAGGTGGCATCATTTCATGGCTGGATCCTGGATTTTAGGATATATTTTAGTATACATGCATTACTTGCTGTGTCTGGACTAGGGATGCAATGTGACCATTTGCCTCAAGGTTCTGCTGCTAGGACTTCCCTGCACTGATGAACTGTGCCCTTGAACTGTAAGCAGAAATAAACCCTTTTCCCCAAAATTACTTTTTATGCGTACAAGTGTTTTGACTCTGTGTATATAAGTGCACCACATGTATGCAATACCTGTAGAGGCCAAACAAGGGCATCAGATCCCCAGGAACTAGACTTGCAAATGGTTGTGAGCCACAGTGTGGAAACTAGGAATCGAACCCAAGTCCTCTGCAAAAGCAGCCATTACTCCTAACTGCTGAGCCATCTCTCCAGTCCTCACCTAAGACAGTTTTGTTGGGATACTTTATCACGACAGGAAAGAAACCAAGACAGTATCATAAAAAATAAAGTAAGGTGCCACTTGATTTCTATCATGGGAGAAAGAAAAATTAATATAAATATCTTACCTGTGTTAATTCAGGGATTCAAGAAAATTCAATTGTTTTCTAAACAATTACAATACAAACAAAATCTGATGCCCAAGTTCAAGCCACTAAAATCTCAAGTTCCTCTAAAGTCTGAACATGCACTAAGTGTCTCAGCTCTGACAAAGCTGATCTGAAGGAATACAGGCTAAACCCCCAGCTCTAGGAATAAAGGGAAATTCCCTAGATTTCAGGGGAAAAAATGGTTTTAAGTGGACATGTAACCACTTCCAGAGTCTGAAGTCCCCAAGAGTAATGCACAAAAGGGGGGAGGGGACCCCACAGAATTGTCTATTCACAGAACACTTTTGTATTCTCTTCCAGCAGCTGACAGACTTCCTGCTGTCTCAACACAGCTGTGAAAATGGGTATTTTTTTTTGATGGTTGGAGGATATTTTATTAAAAGAGTAAATCGTGAATCCCCTAAAAAATTACACAAATGCATAAAAAAGATTTTATTTGATCAAATTATCTTTTGATGGAACTCACAAGATGTCATAGTTGGTCTGAGGGAGACTCTGAATAACAGGTACCTAGACCCACAATCAGGAACACTGAAATGAATTGTTACATTGAAGCAAAATCAAACTGTTTCTATAAAACAAACATAAAAATCAATGGACAGAAATAATTTTTTTTTGTTATGAGGTAGAAAACATTCTCCAACGTGTATGAGGATATACATGGAAGCTATGTGCTGCAGGCAGGGGACAGTGCAGTGAGGCACTGAGACAAGGTGGAAGAGATTTCTGTAACATAGGCAAGGCTGGGTAAAGAGGGCAAGGATTCAATCAGGACAGAAAACAAGGACGCCTCTCCTGTTCTTCAGCTGGTATTGCAAAGAATGTCCACACTGAAGGGAGGGGAATGGTGTATCATACATACACACATATGTTCACACACACATATGTAATGGCATATACATGCCTGAATATATAGTTTACATTTTCCAACTGCCACTATTCAGAAAGACTAAAGTGAAACAAGCACAAATACAATCTTATTCTGTGTTGGAAAATATGCATTCACATATGTAAATATGTATCTGCACAATACATATTGACACATGTGGAGTCACACAGTGGCATATATATATGCATGTACAGTTTCCTTTACATACTGTACTGCTTTATCACGTGATAATGTTACAGCTTTGTTTGGGGCTTTCTCTATTTGTTTTCCATTGACTGTGAAAAGTTAACAGCACAGAGAGTGCCAACACAGAAGGTTCAGAAGGCTGCAGTGAGCCAAAATCCTGGTGCTGCTGTCAATTTCCTTTCCGCTTCTCCTCAGCAGCGTGGACACTAAGCGTGGCCGTGGGGTGCCTTGAGTCACTTGGATACGGCAGACCAAACCACTGGGGCTGGAAGTCCTCCAGGGACCTCAGCATGGTGGTGGCCTTTCTCATCAAGTCTTGACTCAGGTTCTCAACTGGAACCAGGACAACCTGCATCCCAGCTGCCAGAGCTGCCTCCACTCGCTTAGGAGCATCTTCGGACAAGGCGCATTTCCCGGACAGGCTTGGGGAGAGCCTCTTAGCACAGACTGAGAATTATGTCGCGACACAGCTTGCCGCTCCTTCACCCTGGGATCATCTCCCAGCAAAATGTGGTCAAACAAACCGAAGAACTCCTTGTGTCTGGTGGTCTTAAATTCAAAGGACACAGAGCCCGAGCTGGTGGCCAGGGCAAGGGGGATGCTGTGTTTCCCCAGATGCTGCGTCTGTTTCTAAACCCTTGGCATGAGCGCAGCAGTGGGGAACAGCTCCTTCAGTTTTGCCTGGCTCTCCTCCACCACCTCGTTTTCACACATGGACAGCTGCAGGCCATCTGCTATGACCTGGGTGGCTTCTAACATCTTCTTCCCCATCACCAGGGACTTGACATCCCAGCTGTACATCTTTCCATAGTGACCACGTATTTCCTGAAATACTACCGAACACAGGTGTAGGAGGGGCCTGTGAGGATCTGCCAGAATACCGGACCTGGAGACTTCTGCGCAGGCGCACCAGTCTAACAAGGACCTACTTCCTCAAACTGCTAACCTGATATCAGCCGCTTGGGCTAGAGACAGATGACATGACGGTCACACCAATGGACAATACACGGCTCATCCTTAGGGCCAATAGGGGAGGTTGGGGGGTGGGGTTATAAAGGGAAGCCCTTTGTATGCAATAAATGAGCTTGCTGGCAGCCTGCTTACTGAGCAGCATCTCCCGGAGTCCGTGTCGCTGATTCTGCGCCTACTGTTCCCCTGCCACCCCCCACCCCCCCACGAGACTGCAGTCAGGCCACCATAGAGCACAGCAACACACAGGGTTGGTGTTCAAATGTGTGAGCCTATGGAGAACATTTCTCACTCAAACCACCGCATTAGATTAGTGCTGCTCTCAGCCTTGGACTGAGAAGATTGTCTGCAGTGAGCAACAGTTAATGCAGCGACTCACAACTAGTCAGAGTGCTGAAAACAAAGAGATTTTTGGTTGCCCAGTCCTACATAGGACATCTGTAACACCTTCTCCAAAGCTCAGGAAACATCACAGAGAAGAGCACAGAACAGAGTTAGAGCCCAAAGTACAGGAAGGAGTGCTGCGCAGTGCTTTCTGGATATGACATTGCTATTGCACCCATGAAGTCACAGCTGCAGTGCCACATGCACAAGACTAGACCCATAAACATTCCATCATGGATGGAGGAGGGGAATATACAGCTCTCCCACTCCCAAAGGATCTATAGGCAGTTAACAGTTGCTGGACAAAAGTTGGGTGGGAGCCCTCATTGTTGGTATTTATTTGTCCTATTTAGCTTCAGCAGTCACTTGACAGCCCAGTGTTCTGGGGTAGTCTCAAATGGGGACTGCCCAGATCACACTGGTCTCTAGCCAGGTCTTGACTCTTGATTGATGAGGGAGGGCTCAGCCCATTGTGGGCAGTGCCTTCCCTAGGCAAGTGGTCCTGGGCTGAATAAGAAAGCTAGCTAAATGAGGGGTGGAGAGATAGCTCAAGGGTTAAGAGCACTGGCTGCTCTTACAGAGGACTGGGTTCAGTTCCCAGCACCCACATGGCAGCTAGCAATCATCTCTAACTCCAGTTCCAGGGGATCAGACACCCTCTTCTGGCCTCCATGGGAACTGTACAACACAGGTACACTTAATAGACGGAGGCAAAGCACTCATACACATAAAACAACAAAAAATGTAAAGCTAGTTGAGAGTGAGCCAGAAGAGTGTGCCAGCAAGCAGTTCCTGCCCTGACTTCCTTCAATAACAGACTGTGACCTCGAAGTAGAAGCTGAAACCCTTCATTCAAGTTGATTTCAGTCATATTTGTCCCCCAACAGAATGAAACAAGAACAGTTTTCAAAGGACCGCAATCAGAATGTCAAAAAAGGGCTTTATATCCATGCTTACGGTAACAGTACTCAGTCACAACCCAAAAAGAGAAACAATGGAAATGTCTCTTAGATGAGAATACAAAAGGACATTTCTCCCAGCTGCAGGTCATCCAGCTGCTCCTGAGAGGCTGCACAACACACCCACTGGCTGGTATTCACTGAACACTCCAAGGGACCAGAGACATGACTACTTTGGGCACCTGGTTCCAGGCAATTCTGACACACGAGACCTGGAAGACCACAGAGAGATGAGGACATCACCCTGTAAAGCAGGCAAGGGTAAAGCTCAAACCAAATGCATTCTGGTAAGGTATGTATGCCCAAGGAAAAGAAGAGAAGCAAAAAGACTGTCTACATGGGGTCAGGTCAATCTTCACAGATGGATTAGTTGTGTGAAATATTCATAAACAGAATTCCTCAAAAATCTATTGCTCCAGAATTCAGAGGAAAATGACAAAATACTGTCTGAAAAACACCATGAGGAACATAGTTAATCATACTGTGGAAAGGGGAAGTTGATACAGGGGAATGCTTGCAGGGAGGTGGCATTTTAGGAATTTGTTGACAGGTCCAGGAGAAAGGTGCTTACCCTGATTCTGCATCTCTATGCCTGACCTCAGAGGGGAGGCTGCCATGGGAGCTCGGTCTTTCCTGAGTAGCAGATATTCTGGGAAATCAGAGTCGGCTGCAGGGCAGAGCTGACCATCTTCACCTCCTTGCTGTTCTCTTCCTTTTCCTCCTCTCCTTGACTGCTGGGTCCCCAGGTACCTCTCTCCCCACCTCTCCTAAGGGGGTCCTCAGACCTTCTCCCATCAGCAGCAGTGGAACACAGAGCACTGCAACAGCTCCATGCTGCTCTTCTTTTCAGAGATTGTCACTCAGGTGAAGCAAAGGGTTCTTTATTTATTTGTATTTTATGCGTATGCGTGTATTGCCTGCATATATGTAATTGCACCTGTGTCATGCAATGCCCACGGAAGAGAGAAGAGGCTGTTGGATCCACTGGAACTGGAGTTACAGCTGTTAGCTGCCATTGTGGGTACTAGGATTCAAACCCATGTCTTCTGCAAGAACAGCCGGAGTTCTTAACTACTGAGCTCTCTCTCCAGCCCTGAAGCTAGGATTCTTGACTTTGCCACAGAAAAGAATTGTAGGAGCCAGTATGAAATAGAGTTGGAATTCATCAAGGCACTTGATAAATTTATCAAGGCACATGAATTTAAGCATGAAGTCAATAGAAAGGGAGATACACGGGGGGGGAAAGGAAGAAAAAGAAGGAGGGAAGAGGGGGGGGGGGGGGGGGTAATACACCTACACCTGGGAGTGTGGGTGCAGGCTTGTCAAGAGATTGACCCTTAAGTTTTTAAAAACAGATAAATGATTGATAGTAGACATAACTTTGACTACAACTGAAGTTGTATCTCAAAGAGATCAAAGTAGCTCCTGAGGTGCACTGGATAGGCATACAGCTGATTAGGTAAAAAGAGGTTGCAAGGTTACAGAAGTTCAGATATTTTAAACAATTTATAGTCCTGTTTGGGATAGTCTAACAAACTCATATTTACATATGGGAAAGGAATAAGATATTTGAACAAGGTCATGTACTTGCAGGCCTTAAGCATGGTTCACTGCTATTTTAACACTCTTACTTGAAATACTTTTATCTAGAAGGACAACTGCCTCAAAATATGCAATTTTCACAGCAAATATTGTTAACTGTGCTGGAATTTTGACTCTTAGATGACGAGACTTTACCCAGACTCTAGAGGGACTCCTCGTGTCCCCTAAAATTTCCTTACTTCTTTTTCATGTGTGTGCGGTTGGGTGTTATGTGGACGTACAAATTTGTGGTTGCCCTATAGTGGCCAAAGGTCAACCTTGGTTCTCTTCTTCAGTCAAAATCTACTTTATTTTGAGACAGAGACTCCCACTTTCCACATGGAGCTTGCTAATTAAGGTAGGATGCTCACCCTGTAAGCCCCAGGAATCCACCTGTCTTCAGCCAGCATTTATTTTAAATATTTTATTTATTTTTATTTTATGTGTATGAGTGTATTGCCTGCATGTATGTGAGTGCACCTGTGTTGTGCAATGCTGCGGAGGTCAGAAGAGGACTTCAGATTCCCCTGGAACTGGAGTGAAGGACAGTTCGTAGCCACCATGTGGGTGCTGTGAATCGAACCTGGGTCCTCTGCCAAAGCAGTCAGTGCTCTTAACTGCTGAGCCATCTCTCCAGCCCCTCAGCCACCATTTTTTAAACAGGTTCTAGAAATGAAATTCTGATCCTCATGCTTATGCAGCAAAGCCATTTACCAATTAGGTCATTTCACCAGCACAATTTTCCCTTTCTTCATGTGTATGTCTCTGTACATATGTGTGTATGTGTGTGATTGTGGGAATGCATGTGGACATAAGCAAACAACTTTGGCTGTCAATCCTCATCTTCTTCCTTGAGACGATCTCTTTTGTTGCTTTTATACAGCCTACGACAGGCTAGCCGTCCCTCTTGGTCTGCAAATCCTTCTACACTTGCCCTGTGATTCAGTGGCAGGACTCAACCTTCACCCAACAGTGCTGCTATCCCAAGGGAAATGCCAGAAAGTCCACAGCTTCTGGGCTACACCCAGGGCAGGGACAGGAGCAAGCTGCCTCTGCCTGCTCCATAGCTGCTATGCTTCTGAAATCATGTCCCCACCAAGCTGGTCCTGTTCTCCATGTGCCAGCCCCTCTTCGGAGACTGGAGGCAGGGGACCAGAAGGAGTCAGCCTTCTAACCCTATCTTACCTGGCTTGGGTCCCTAACATGGCTTGCTGGTCTGTATTGCCTTCTCTCTCAGGATCTCTGCCACATCTCCGAATCTCTTTCACTGTGAACAACTTGGATTCTCTTGGCACCACCATGAACTCCAAGGACCCTGGCTGGGTCCGGATACTTCAAGGACAGATTTAGAGTTTCTGAGTACTCCCTGACCTCCCTTAAACCCAATGGTGCCAAGGTAGAGCAGGGGAGGCAGAAGGACAGCTGGTTCCTGGGAATCTGCCAAGTGCCAGTGCCTGCCCTGAGCTCTTTTCATTTCCACAAAGGACTGGAGTCCACCCTAATGGTGCAGGTCTGTAAACCCAGTTTTGGGATACTGACAGAGAATCACAAGTTCACGACTGACTTTGTCTACCAAGTGAGACCTTGTCTCAAAGAAACAAGTAAAAGTTCAACCAACCAACCACTGAGGAATGTCTCGTGCCTGCATGTAGAACTCCTAGGTCCTATGCCCAGTACCATCACCCTCCAAATACACAAACGAGAAATAGATGAGACAGGTGAAGTTACCAATCAGGGTCTGTCCTAGTTCGTTTCTCCATTGCTGTGACAAAACACTGACCAATACCAACTTGGGGAGGAAAGGAAAGCCAAATGGCTTACATCTCCTAGGTCACAGTTCAACAGTTTATCAGGGAGCCCAAGGTAGGATCTCAGGGCAGGAACCTGGAGGCAGAAGCTAGAGTACAGGCCATGGAGGAACACTGCTTACTGGCTTGCTCCCTTGGCCCCTGCTCAGCTTTTTCTTTTTAATATTTTGTTATTTTTATGTGTATGAGTGTTATGCCTGCACGTAGATAAATGTACCCATGTCGTGAAATGCCTGCGGAGGACAGAAGAGGCTGTCAAATCCTCTGGAACTGGAGTAACAGACAGTTGTTAGCTGCCCTGTGGGAGCTGGGAGTCTAACCTGGGTTTTCTGCAAGAACAGTCAGTGTTTGTAACCACTGAGCCATCTTTCCAGGCCCTCAGCTTGCTTTCTTATGTAACACAGGCCCACCTGCCCAAGGATGGCACCACCCACAGTGCACTGGGCCCTCCCACATCACTCAACAATCAAGAACATGCCCCACAGACATGGCCATAGGCCAGTCCTATGGAGGAAATTCCCAAACTGAGGCTCCCTCAATCCAGGTGTGTTAAATTGACACTAAAGCTATCAAGCACAGGGTCACACAGCCAGAATCTGGATTCCAGCCCATATCCCAGTGGCCCCAATGCCTCAAAGAAACACCTCATGGGGAATTGGTGGTGAGGGACCCAGGGAAAGATGGGGACAGTCACAGCAAAGCCAAAAAGGGACGGCACTTACACGCCTCGATTCAGTCAGTTGATATATGGACCATGATAGAAAAATCAAGAATAAACAAAGATTTGAATCCTCTTCTCTCTCTCCCTGTCTGTCAGCAAAATTCAGCTGACAGGCTTGTGGTTAAAACGCTGGCATAACTAGCTAAGAGCGACCGGTCCTGTAGTTTATTCCTGTTGACCAAGGCTTCTTCTCAATATGACACAGGGATCTTTTGGGAACTTTTCACACATTTTGCAAAAAATAGCACGTTTTTGCCATTAGCCAATTAAACTAAAAATACTGTAATCCACTACTTAAGATATAAAAATGTAAATGATCCCTCCCTTCGGGGTCCAGACTTTCGACACGAGTCCTATGGACCAGGCTGCAGCCAAAATAAAACCCGCTTCCTGAACTTCCCCGTGTCTCGCTTCATCTTCCCTGCTCGGCAGATTGTAAGATCACAGGGACTCAGAAGGACGGCGGCCGGGGAGGACTGACCACAGTCCGTCTGCTGCTGCTGGCGGCAGGGCGCCCGGCCTAATCCCCTCCCTTCTCGAGCCGCGGTCGGCTGCACTACAGCCGTTGCCCGCGGGCCTGGCCTAAGGGCCAAGAACTCGCAGCTCCGCTCCGCCAGCGCCGGCGGCGCCCTTCCAGTTTCCGAGCCGGACGTGGCAGGGGCGGAGTCCCGGGACAGGGTCTGGACCCGAGCTGGGCACTAAGAGCTGCCCCAGCGCCGCAGCCTCAGGGGACAGGGCGGAAGTGGGCGGCCAAAACAGCATCCTTGCCAGTTGGGACACCGCGCTCGCCATTTCCGGTCTTCCTCCCTGTCTGGACGCCCGGCGCTCACAATTTCCGGTTTCCCTCCCGGGCAGGACGCCGCATGCTCACCATTTCCGACTTCCTGGACGTCTGTGTCCTCACTATGGTCCCCGCAGGAGCGAGTAACAGAGCGAGAGGACAAGAGAGATGATCCCTTACCACAGCGAGAACAAGGGACAGAGCCAAAGATGGAGGATAGCCCGCCCCCAACTGTCAGTGAGTCTGATTGGGCGGTCCTACAACACTGCGTCCAATTGGACAGGGTTTCAGGTTCCCGCCCCTCAGACTTTTGAGTGACAGTAGATGGGAGCTTCGTGTGTGGGTCTCCAGGTTTGCGCTCCTGGGCTGTCCTCAGTGCAGTAGAGGGCGGGATGGCCTGGAGCTGGAGTTACAGGTAGTGAACCGCCCAATCCTTGTAGGTGCTGGGAACTGAGCAGCAACTTCCCTTTACCACTGAAGACAAGGAATGACAAGTTCTTGCTTGCCATGTTTTAAGGCAGCCCTGCCAGGGAAGAAGCCTAGCCCTAATTGAACATTTGAATTTAACCTTTTACCAAAGGTTTATCAGCGTATGACTGACAAAAAAAAATGGTTCTTATTCGCAAATGAAAATGATTTCCAGACAAAGTTTTTTAAATTCCTGTAAAATTCCCAGTTCTGCTAGTTTGAGTAAGCAGCCTGAGCTTTGAAATTGGAAGAAATCTGCTAAGGCAAAAAAGTGAGGAAAAAATATGAAGCCGACTTTGTGTGTGTGTGTGTGTGTGTGTGTGTGTGTGTGTGTGTGTGTGTTTCCTCACCAATAGGGGAGCGTCTAAAGCTCTTCCTTAGCCTGGGTGCTGGCACACACCTTTAATCTCAGCACTAAGACGCGAAGGTGGATCCGGGTTTGAAGCCAGCCAGATCTACATAGTGAGTTGTAAGCCAGCCAAGCCTTCACAGTAAGACCCTGCCTAAAAAAAGGGGGGGGGGGTTGAAGTAACTACTCAATAGTTCAGAGCCCTGGCTACTCTTACAGAGGACCTGAATATGATTCCCAGCATCCACACGGTGGCTAACAGCAGCCTGTAACTCCAGTTCCAGGGGATCCTGTCACGCCATCGCCAATGGAGCCCACGTGAGATCCTCCGTGGGTTGAGGCTGAAACTTCAAAGAAGGTTGCCTCTTGGAATTGGCTGTGCTAAAAAACATGCAGTGTACTTGGCATGCGCTTACTTGCTATTATCTTTCTGTCACTGTACCATGGGCTTTCAGGGAGCCCGGAAAGCACCTGATGTCCTTGACACCGCTGTCACTGCCCTTATTGAAATCTTTTAATTATCCTAGTATGCAGGAAGAGTTCTCAGGAACTCAATCACCGAGACAACTTTGCCTCTAGATGCATCACTATTAATGAAAGCTATTTTAGATGCAGCAAGAAGTAGTCAAGCAGAATTAATGCTGGAAAGTCCAGGGAATAACGGATTTCTAGAAGAGAGACATAGATGGGTAAATATAGATAAAAGAAGGGTTTCTTGGTATTCATTATAATTCATGGATAAATTGGCAAGATCAAGACCACCTTGGTGTCTTTTGACAAAAAATCAACAAGAGAGCATTAAAAGGCAACTACAGACTGTATTTGAAAGTTGGAAAAGATAGGAGGGAAGGATGGTTTCATAGGTCCCTAACATGGGATCATTTTTTAGGTTCTAAGGGGTTAAGGAATGACTTAGAAGCCCGATGGCCCACTACAAATAAGCTCCTCTGCAAATAAGCAAGGAATGTTATCAAATAGTTAAAAATGTAATATCAGGTGCAGCTAATGTTGAAAGCAAGTGATGGGTTAAGGTCATTTTGACCTGAAACCACAGAGCTGAGCGGAATCCTGAGTATGGGAAAGGCTGGCAGTGAAGGCCACAGCGGGGGTTTGCTGTCTGATGCCCTGTTGATGGGATGGGGAGGTATGTTTTGGTTGTACATGATGGCTGGCAGGGTTGTTTTGCTTTTATCTCTGGAATTGTAAATCTTGGCATGGCTGTTCTGCAGTTTCTGTTGGGGAGATTTTGCAATCTTTGCTGTATATATCTCAAACCTTGCAGCTGCAAAAATTACACTCAGACCTTCACCAAGCTCTTGTGTGTCTGTTTGTCACTCGCCGAATCCTTGCCCACTCTCTCGGGGACACTGTTCCCATCGGACTGAATTGCTCCGGTCTGGGCTGGTCTGTCGCAGGATCCAATGTAATCCAATCTTCTGGCCTCTAAAGGCATCGCATAAACATGGTACACAGGTGGGCAAAACACTCACATAAAATAAAAATAAACTTTAAAAAAAAAAAACTTCCCTCTTGCCAGGCGTGGTGGCGCACGCCTTTAGTCCCAGCACTCGGGAGGCAGAGGCAGTTGGATCTTTGTGAGTTCAAGGCCAGCCTGGTCTACATAGTGCATAGTGAGTTCAGGTCAGCTGGGACTACAAGGAGGCGCTGTCTCAAAAAGACAAAAAAAAAAAGAAACCCACCTCCCTCTTCTGACACTATTTCTGAGGAGACATGAACAAAAGTCTACTCACTCCAAATAAAGAACCTGTGGCAGACAAAGTAAGGATACCACCAGAGTTCATTTGGTGAATCAATGAGCTTATTGGGTTTGCTTATAGGTGTATGAGTGTGGGTTTACTTACAGGAGGAGGAATGACTCAAAGGCAGTTGCATCACCAAAAGCCCACTCCAGCATGAGTGGTGGGTCAGGAAAGCTGGAAACCTGGAAACATGAATCTCCCTAAACAACTTGCAGGCAGTTCAACGGGTTGTAAAGTGTCTCTTCCAGACAGTCAGCTGGTCTGAGCTAGTGTATCTGGTCAGTTTCTGGGACTTCCTTAAGCTTTTAACTTATGACTTCCTGACAATCTCTGCAGGATGGAATATTTCACTTCCCTTTAGTTATTCAGGTCTTAAGGAGCTTCCCTCCAAGATGGAGTTTTTGTCTCTGAGGAAATTGCTGCACAACACCTTTTCAGATCACAATACCTTTAATCTACCCCATAAGAATAGCTACTAAGGGGCTGACGAGATGGCTTAGCAGTTAAAAGCACTGACTGCTCTTGCAGTAGACTCGGGTTCGATTCCCAGTACCCACAAGGTGACTAACAACCATCTGTAACTCCAGTTCCAGGGGATCCAATGCCCTCTTCTGACCTCCTTGGGCATTGCATGAGACAGGTGCACTTACACACATCCAGGCAGTACACGCATACACATAAAGTAAAAATAATAAAATATTTTTAAAAAGAATAGCCTCTAAATCTACTATTACGAAAGGTTTTCTTGGTTTCTTTGCTGTCAGGTCTTAAGCAGCCCAGGCTGGTTTTGAGCTCCTTATATAATACCTCCTGGAATATATCTTCGAACTCCTGTTCTTGTAGTCTTGACTGTACCTTCCCAGTGCTGGGATTATAGGCATACAGCACAAGTACTGGCTTGTAGATGTTTTAGATTAGAATTCTCATTGGTATAAACAGTAATGTCAGTGGTAAGGGAGGCAGAGACAGGAGGCATAGCTCCACTCTCTCCATTGCATCAACCCAAGGAGTTCCTCTAATCTTTCAGGGACTTCAACAAACAGGCCAAAGAAAGATTCATGGCTTTGAGATCCAGAAAAAGTTCTAGGCAAGCAATTATGAAGCTGAGTTTTTGTTTTAAGATAATTTTAGGGCCAATGAGATGGTTCTGCACTTACCAGCAAGCCTGACGACCTGAATTTCATCCCCGGTCCCTCGTGGTAGAAAGAGAAAACCAGTTCTGCCAAGTTGTCCTCTGACTCCACAGGTGTGGCACTAACTAAATAAATGTAAACAAATTAAGATAATTTTCATATAGTGTTTAAGCAGGATGGTTATGAGAAAGAAAAAGGTGCACAAAAAGAAAGTTACACCCAAGAGCATACGTGTGGGCTTTCCCTAAGACTCACACTCCTTCGTTCCATGTCTTAAAAATTTGGGGCTGGAGAGATGGCTCAGCAGTTAAGAGTACTGGCTGTTCTTGCAGTTAATGTGTATGAGTGTGTTGCCTGCATGTAAGTAAATGCACCCATGCCAGGCAAGCCTGCAGATGTCAGAAGAGGGTGTCGGATCCCCTAGAACTGGAGTTATGGACAGTTGTTAGCTTCCATGTGGGTGCTGGAAAGTGGAAGAGTCCTCTGCAAGAGAAGCCAGTGCCCTTAACCTCTCTCGAGTCCTGTTTTGAAACTATTCTCTCTCTTCTCTCTCTCTCTCTTTCTTTTTTGGTCTTTTTGAGACAGGGTTTTCCTGTAGCCCCAGCTGGCCTGGAACTCACTATGTAGACCAGGCTGGCCTTGAACTCACAGAGATACATACTCCTGCCTCTTCCTCCCCAGTGCTGGGATTAAAAGGGTGTACCACCACACCCGACTGAAACTATTATCTTTAAAGGGTGACTAAAGAGCATAAATGAGATCACCAGGTGGTTCCTTAGGGGAACTTGACAGAATTACAATTGATAAGGAAAAGTCTAGATCACAGTGATACAAGAAGGTAGGAAATCTCTACTGTAAACAGAGTTAACAAGCTTGTCTGACATTCCCAGAAAATATCTAGGGGAAGAAATGAGGCTCTGCTTGAGGCCATGTACATTCAAGCTTTAAGCCTAGCGCTTTGATGTTTTTTGTTGTACCCACTGGATTCACAAAGAAATGTCACACAGTTGGCCCAATCAAGAGTTTTTTAAAGTTTTTTACTTTTTTAATTGAATTTTTTTTTTGTCTTTTAGAAACAGGGTCTTTCTGTAGCCTCAGCTGGATCAGAACTCACTACATAGACCAGGCTGGACTTGAACTCACAGAGATCCACCTCCTGAGTGCTAGGACTAAAGGCCTGCACCACCACTCCCAGCCATTTCATTGAAATTTTTATGGATTTTTTGTGTATGTCATACTCCCTTCCCCTTCAGCACCCTCCTACTGCCCCCCCCCATTTCCTGCATTCTATCATTTATCTTAAGGCCTATCAAGTCAAGTTAGTATCCCCTGACATCCTTCAGTGCATGTTCATCCACTTGGGTCTAGTCATTCCCTTAAAGAAGAACAGTTCTTCCTCACCCAGCAGTGATTAGATGCCCAGTAGTTCTTTAGCTAAGATTGGGGCCTGCTATCCTGCTCACAGTTCTATGCTTGTGTTTGTCTGCTGTGTTTGTATAGTTCTTGTGCCT